GAAATACAAGAAAAGGTAGGAATGTAGGGTGAAAAATGAGGAGTTTGACATTTGACAGTTGAACAGTCAAAAAGAGATGACCAGTAGGAAATTGAATATATGGGATTAGATTAGAAGTTAGAACTTTTTATTTTATTTTAAAATTTCACTGTACAAATTTATTGAGGACTTACTATCAACCAGTCTGGATCATTAACTTCTTTGGAGGGCCTTCATTCACTCATTCCTTTATTCACGTAGTCAGTCACTTCATGCAATCATACATTGCCAGTGACTACAGACCTATTCAACTTCAGAAGTAACTTTCTACTGACACAGTTTTCAGCCATTTCTAAATGTGTAGGCATTTCAGAAGTGTTGGAAAATGTAGAAAATCTGTGGAGGCAATCATAATAATCTACTACTTTGGCAGACTCTTTGTGTTTGAGATTTTAGGATTACAAAACTCCTAAACAACCCTTTTGCTCAAGCATGAATTAGGCATCATAATTTAACAGAATATTTACTTGGTTACCTTATATGTCATTAAATAATGACCTATGTTTTATGCTTATTTTGTTGTTTGTAACACTTTGCAGTCAGCACAGGTGGCTAAAAGCAGTTATATATTCTGTATATTCTTTTTTTTTTTTTATCCTCACCCAAAGACACTCTTCCATTTTTTTTTTTTTTTGTTCAGATAGAGTGGAAGGGAGAGAGAGGAAGAGAGAGAAAAAACATTGATGTGAAAGGGACACATTGAGTGGCTGCCACCCACATGACCCAAGCAGGGTCGGGGACAAACTGCAACTGAGGTACATGCCCTTAGCGGAAATTGAACTCGGGTCTCTCAGGACTGCAGGCCGACGCTCTAACTGCTGAGCCAAACCGGCCAGGGCTTCTGTATACTCTTTTAACCTACCATTTTCTTCAGAAAAAAATCAAATCAACCGTTGTTTTTTGCCAGGTGGAAGGACAAGTCCCAATACAGATTTCTGCATTCCTGTGGGAAGGTGACATATTGGTAAGGTTATTTCTGGCTTAGTGTCAACACTAAATGGGACTTAAAATTTTCTCCTTGACTCCCTACTTTTATCCAAACACACAAAAAAGTGTGTAGCATGTAGAAAAATTTAACTCAGAGGTATGCATGCCATGGGAAGAGACATATACCTAACAATGGGAAATCATGTCAAACATGCCTGTTCTCATAAATTCTTTTGGCCACCCAGGGGAATCCTATGGCCTTTTACTCAGCTTTCTATTTTCTTAATACCATCTTTCTCCTTTAATTTCCCCTCATTCCTCTGCCCACGTTTTTCCCCAAAGAAAACAAAATCAAAGCACTATAAACAAACAGGTTGTTCTTATTTCATGGAAAATCACTTAGTTCTCTGTTGTTGTTTTAGATACAATTTCCAAATCTCGTCTCTTTCTCTTCATAATTTATCCAAGATTTTTTTTAAAGAATAGTTTTCTTTTGAAGAGATTACTGGTACCAGCAGTGTAGAAAATATATAAACATATCACTCGTTACATTTACATTTGGTTTTACAAATGCTAAGTAGTCTAGCCTGCTGGACCATCTGAAAGTAAAACCTCGTCATGAAAGGGCGCAAAAAGGTACACTCTCACGCAGTATTGTATTAATAAGGAAAATGAATCCGCGCAATTTTGATTTGTGTTTTCAGAAACTCTCTTGGATGGCACTTTCATTTAGTTCTTATTCCTATTAGCACTTCATTGGTGTATTCTGTTCTCTGAGAAAATTATTACAACAATTTTTCACTGACACTGACTTAATATATGAAGTTGTGTTTACGCATTGACAAATATACACTGAACACCTACTATGTGCCGTGCTTCGGGGAAATGGAATGAGTTGACAGTCAACAGGTATAGAGACCTGGAGCAGCCAGGAGCAATGCCAAAGCAAGGGCAAGAACAGTGTGGCTGGCACTTTTCATTAGTGGCTATTGAATTGAGTGTAGCCACGTGGTTCTCCTGAGTCTCTTTACATCTTTCAAATGGGATCATTATGTACTTTGAACTAGTTAATATAACTTCAAAATCAGCTTTGCCTGATCTATTCAGGAAATTCTGCACTTAGATGATGATATTTTTGCTTAGTAATTGAGTTCTTTACTTTCTGAAATTAAATGTTTTAACTTAAATGTTTTTAACTTAAACATACATGTTTTAAAATCACATTTTCTAGCTTTGTAGCATTTCCTCAGATTGCAGTCCGGATAGCTATCTTTTTTTTACTAAAGTCAAATTTAAATTTTGTTTTTGGCAAAACTGTTCTATGAGAAATATAGAAATTTGCCAGACCAGTGTGGCTCAGTGGATTAAGCACTGTCTCATGGACTGAGAGGTCCCAGTTTCAATTTCCAGTCAGGGCACATGCCTGGGTTGCAGGCTCAATCCCCAGTAGGAAGCGTGCAGGACACAGCCAATTAATGTTTCTCTCTCATATCGATGTTTTGTCTCTCTCTTCCTCTCTGTCAAACAAACAAACATATTAAAAAATAAATAAATACAGAAATTTAAGCATACAATATTATAACTACTACAGAAATAAAATTGTAAGAAATGTGACTTCTTCACTTTACATCATAATTCACCCAGACTTAAATGAAAGATATCTTTAGAAGTATGACTAAAAACCAAGTGAAAACCCTGTTTTAGGTTATTTAATTACCTTGTGACAATCATTCTGGTTAAACAAAATTTTCCACAGTTAGGTACAATTACATGGAATACCTTCTCATTGAATTACAAAATTTATCAGGTTATTTCTTTCTTTCCTTCTACTCCTTCCAGTGAGCTACACAAGGTCATGAAATCAGCCAGCCTTCAGCCTTCATTTGGACTCATTATATACTTAATATACTCTCTAGGGACTGTTAATGAGGAAAGATATCTTTCTGCTTCCACTTAATCGAATTAATTCAATTCAATTCATTCATTCATTCAACAAATATTTTATTAAGCACCTACAATATGCCAGGCACTGTGCTGGGTGCTGGGGATACAACTGTGAACAAGATAGACACAGTCCCTGCCCTCAAGGAGCTTACAGTCTAGTAGTTATACAGACAAGTACACAGGCAATTACAATGCAGTATGGTAAGTGCAGTGATGGGGGAAAAACATTAAAAGGGCACCTAACTCAGTCTCATAGGCCGGGGATGGTGGATGGAAATCTTCCCAGGGCAGGTAAAATTCAATTTGAGGACTGACAATGAGTACAAGTTAGTTAGGAAAAGGGAAGAAGGAAAGAGTTATAGACTGAAGAGAGAGTAAATGTAGTGTCCATGTGCTGCTTTTGAGATTCATTTGCAGGGGTAAGAGTTTGGGTAGGGGTGAGAGAAGTCATGGAAAAGATACTGTAAAGACCAGGTCATAAAGGGACTCATTTGTTCTGCTCAAGAGCTTGGAATTTTTCCTGAGGGAACAGTGTGTGTGTGTGTGAACAGATTTGAACTTTTACAGATTGCTCTTCCTGCAGCACAGTAAGGTTGAATGGGGAATGGGAATTTTGAGCACTGAGGCAAGATGCTCAGTCCTTTACCTTTTCCAACATTATCTTCCATGATATCACACCCTGTGCTCTCTCCAGTCTGTGGGCCAGTGCTCATCCATAAGGCTCTTAGCACCTTCTCCACCTATGAAAACTCAATGTATCCTTCAAAGCCAGACTTCCAAAATAATCCTAACTTGTGCTTCTGTCAAGTATTGTGGTCTTTAAGTATTGTGATGTTTGTTTGTGTTATAGTACTTATTTATTATTTCAAATGATTCAAGCTTTCTTTTGAACAATGTTAATTTAATCCATTTACAACATAAGGTGACTTTTGTAAATAAACAGGTATAATTTTCTTCACAATTTTCAGTTGAAAACAAGGACTTAATTCTTCATTTGCTGTCTACTACAAACTATTATTAGTGCCTTCAGATGATCTAAATGGAATAATGAAAATGAGGAGGGGCTAAAGAGACACCTTATTTAATGCAGCAAAGTACAGTCAAGTAAAATTTCAACATAATTACAGGGTATGTTGCGGTTATGACAATGATCCATTTCCCAATTCAAACACTTCATCTTTGACATAATTCTGCTAACGAGGCAAAGATCTGTAAAAGAGGGTAGCTTAGTATGCAAAAATAATAAGGGCTAGCTAAATTTTCAATATGGCCCACACTTTACTATCCCTCCTAGAGTCTTATAATTTCTCAAATAACTTTTATAATGATAAGAAAAAATCTTTAAGCTCTGCAGATAGTGTAAGAATGTGTTGTTTTATTCTTTTTGGTGGGTACAAAAACCACAATTTTGTACACAGAACAAGAGTATAAATAATATCGATACCATGAGTGACCTTGATTCTACATTGTGGACTGATGATTTTACGTTAATGCCATCTTCTTTTTGTTCTTGTTCCGGGTATTGAGACAAATGCAATCTGTGGACACCGATTCATGTGACAGAGTGAAAGTTACAGTGAACAAGATGACCAACAACTCTTATTAAAAAAAAGTCTCTAAAGTTTATTACAGTGATGGCATTTATATCAATTATTGCAATGTATTATTCCCTAAGATGGTTAGAAAAAAGAATCGTGTTGTCCTCTACTGAATTTACGTCATTTAAAATGCAAGCATGTTTCAGTATTTTTCTCCAAAGTAAGTGTAAATACTTCCTTTAAATTTTTTTTCACAGGATTTACATGTTTGTTTATTATTTTCTTATCACAGTTTTCGTGATCTGTTTTCTCAGCTGGACAGTCTTCGGCTGCTTCGAGGGGTGTTGCAGAGCCACGGGGAGCACCCTGGTTGCTCCGCCATGCACCCGCGGGGAAGGCCGAGGCCTCTCTGCGCAAGAGCTCCGCAGCGCACGCGCTGCCCAGGAAGTCTGGTTCGTTTTTAAGTCCACGCCAGTGAAATTTGTTGCTGTTAATACACCCGTCCCAGATCCCCCACCCACTCCCCGAGAAAACCTAAATTGTTTTCCTGATAGAAAATCTGAGTTTGGGTTTCCGAGCTGAGCTCATGCACACGTTGCTGCGCTGATGTCCGGCCTCTCAGCCGAAGGGTGGGTTGGCCAGGACCGCGTGGGGCCTGTCCTCCAGGGCTGCGTGCCCGTCAGTCACCCACACAGTTTAATTAAGGCACTCAATTATTTTTTTGGTTTTCATGGTAGGTCCGATGCAATGACAGCCAATCCTGAACTTTGTCTAATTGCAGTTCCAGTGTGGACAGCCTTTGGGCAGTCGGGCGTCAAGACGCGGCCATTTTCACCCACACTCCCAGTGATGGATAATCGGGCTTTGTTTCTTATGGCTTCAGAAAAGGTCAGCTGGGTGCATGGAAAGGAAACAGAAAGAATGTGCAGTGTTACACTTTTCTGTTTCTTCAACAAAATAGGACACAACAAACACCAAGATATCAATATTAGACATCTGCATTTTTTCTGTATTCTTTTGGTCATGTAAAAACTGGTTATCATGGGAAAGAAAAGCTCAGCTGTAGGGAAGAATGAATCGGTCTAGAGTTTGTGGTCCTATGTTTAAGAACTCATTTGAAAATCACGAAACTAGGTTTTGTTTAGCAAATATGGGTAGGACACATCTTTTAACTTGCTGCACTCGATACCCTAGTACTTCTTAAAAGCTCCTTTAGATTTTACACCATTCCTGGAGACTTTTTGTCATGCTAGAAAATGTCTTTACAAGGATCTATAAAATCCTTTGCAAGGGTTATACTTTTGAAATTGTGATGAATGTCTAAACTAACTATATTCATAGTGTTCATGACAGAACACAGATCTCTCCACAGACACCTCCATTCTGTCACACCAGTGACAGATATGATCCAGAACGCACAGTTAGTGACATAACGTTCATTCTGTGCCTCATGTGGAAGCTGAGGCTCATTAAGAAGCTGAAAGTGCATAAAGGGGGTGCCCTGAAAGGGGGCATGTTTCAATACCTCATGAATGGTCATCACTGGGGAGCTGCCCAAACTGAGGTTATGAGGTCAGTTCTTGGAAATCCTCATTAAATTCTCATTCTCTGTCACATTAGGTAGCAGATAATGATATTGCACAGTGGAGAGATGGGTGGTGTTATGTAAATCTATTGTTCACTCATTGCCTTTAAATTCTTTCTAGAGCTGAATTTTAATATTAACTCTAGAGGAAAGTAAGGTAAGCAAGATATTCCCAAAATTCATTATGGCTTAGATCATAACTTTCTCATTACTCATAATGTACCTTAATTCCCTATTGTGAATTTAAGTTAACCTTATTCTTTAGGAAATTTCATCCTGTAATTGTTCTGCCATGAAATTAAAAGTTTTGAGTAATTATTATATGTTAAATAATGGCATTAATAATTGAATTAAAACTGTTATAATGAAGAGGTTTAGAGATCCGTCACCTTGATAACTAAAAAGTTGAAGTCAAATTGCTAGGTAAACAAACCAGGTAGATCATTATAATAGTTCTGCTCAATGAACACCCTCAGAAATTAATACTTATCTGGTTGGATTATTATGACTAATGGCCACGACCTTAATCAGAAGTCAGAATACAATTGCTATAGAAATCCTACTCATCATTAAATTAAATCAAATCAAGACCAAAGTCTGAATTTGCTTCTTCAGATTCCCTTTCAACATGTAATATTAAGTAAAATAGATAATTATTTTTAAACATTAATAATTTAGTTTAGTTTTATTTTAATTTTATTTTGGTGGGGGGAGTACATGCCCCTAGCGGAAACCGAACCCAGGACTCTCTGGTCTGCAGACCGATGCTCCAACCACTGAGCAAAACCGGCCAGCTGGCCAGGGCTATTTTAATTTTTAGAAGAGGAAATACTAAAATATAATTAATAAAAGCAGTGTGATTGTTTTGAAGAAAGTTTTGCGGAAGCCTTTTTTCATAAAATCTATTTTTGTTTCTTTTCTTTTCTTGATTGCCTTTGTGAGGAAAGGAAAACATCCAAAGCAGGAAAGAGTCTGTGTAGTTTTGAGCACTCTCTCCTTCTCTATAGATTAATGCAACCAAGTCTATTAGTTAATAAATCTTTGTCAACTTCTTAATTTCTCTTTAAATCTCAGCATTCTTAGTTCTCAGCATTCTTATTTTCAATACTTATATCTTCTAATTCTTCCATAAAAGGTCATTTCTATTTATCTTGGTGTGAACTTGTTGAGGCTGCTCAAACTGGAAAGCTTTCTTAAAAATTTCCATATGGTCTGCATCTGGTTGGATTATTATGACTAATGGCCATGACCTTAATCATATGTGTTCTTCTTGAAGGATGGTCACTTTTGAAGTTGAATTCTGCCGTATATTGAAGGTTTTGTTTTTGTTTTTGAGATTCTGGGAAAATATGATCTAAACTATCAAATATTTGCATAATTATGGCCAATAACATTTTTGAAAGGAAAAAGCCATTTAATATGGGAGTGCAACAAAAACAACTTACTTTCAAGGCTTCTCTACAGGTGTAGATTATTTCATTTACCCTGAATGTTATTAAGTCTTTTAAAAAGTCATATAGATATGAATATTTCTATATAAAAATTTATTGTCTTAAAAGTTCAATCCCAGTTCTAAAGGCAATTTGTGTGATGAACTGCAATGCCAGGTTCTGACTCCTGAAACATTGTTATATGTAAATTGTATGTACATAACCTGGGAATTTACATTTCTTTTTAACAACTTCCCAGAGCTTTGTAATAAACTAGCATTTATGGTATTTCTTTTTAGACTTTTCTAATATTCTTTTTTCTTTGCTTTGCTTCTCTGCCCTTGGGCATTGCTGATGGTTGGAATGCTTTTGCCATGTCAAAGAAAAATCAGTTTTAATAAATTGGTTAAAATTTTTATTTAAGACATCTTATAGACTGGCCAGTGTGGCCCAGTGGATTGAGCATCGTCTCGTGGACTGGGAGGTCCAGGTTCAATTCCCAGTCAGGGCACATGCCTGGGTTGCAGGCCCAACCCCCAGTAGGGGGAATGCAAGAGGCAGCCGATCGATGTTTCTCTCTCACATTGATGTTTCTATCTTCTCCCTTCTTTGCTCTATAAAAAATCAATAAAAACATATTTTAAAAAAAGACATCTTATAAAATTCATCTCAGAATGAAGTCTGAATAATTGGCTCTGAAAACTTGTCAGGTATTATTTTTCCCAGTTTGGGAAAATCTCTCCTCAATTCTCCGGACCGCAGGCCGACGCTCTAACCGCTGAGCCAAACCTGCCAGGGCTCTCCTCAATTCTATAAACATCAAGATGAAAGCATTCTTATGATGGCCCAGACTTTGACATCATCCTCGTTTGTTGTTTTGCTATTAGAAGACATGTTTAAAAACTTCTGATCTGAGTGAATTGAGGGTTTTGTTCTTAATTTTTTCCCATAAAATTGAGAAAGAACCAGTTTAGGCTTACATATGTTTAGTGATACTCGGTCATCGATTTCCAGATTGTGGATAAAAGCTATTAGATATTGTTTTAAGGTACAAGTATTTCAATAGCTTTCATATGAATAAATAAATATTAAAATCAAGCACGTTTACTGGGTATTACCTCAGATGTACATCTTATTATGAAGATTATATTAGTTTTTTGACATCAAGTATAGAATGTCTCCTGTGGGTTTTAAGGATCACTTGTTATTTTAATCAAAATGAGCAGCCTATTCAGTTGGCTATTATATATAATTTTAGAAAATGGGTTTTAGAGACCTGATTTTAGAAAGAGCAATAACAAATGTGTTTAGGTCTTATTTTAAAACCACTTTCAATCATTAGAGGAAAAAAATAATGGACATTTAGATTCTTAGAAAATGATTTCCACTGCCTATATTTCACTGAATGCCTACAATTGTTTTGTTGTGGCACGATGAGAGCCTGTGAATGAGTGGGGCTGGTCTGGCCTACTTAAAAGCAATTGAAGTAAAAAAATCCATAGTAACTGATGGCAATTTTTATCCTTTACTGTATTCCTCCTAAGAATACACACATTGCTGATATCTTTGATGGAGAAACTGCTAGATTGCCTAAAATGTCTGCTCACCTTAGTGAACTTAAAAGTTGAATTTCATCTCATAAATGTGAATTGCAGTCAATACCCTGATGGTCACTCATGTCTCAAGATCTGGCTCAAGGACTACTGTGAGATGCGCAAACAGCTAGGTTTGACTCTTGCAAAATATAGAACGATGGCTAATGTAAAACAAATTAGATTAGAAACTAAAATATTTCAAGCACTGATGATCCACCTTGGAGCTTTGACTTGTATTGTTTCTCGGAAAAGCCTACCTGGCAGCCCATCTGAGCTTTGATCATTTGAATCAGGCTTGATGGTTATTTTGTTAACACATTTTAAAATTTAATTGTTCCAGAGATTAGCCTAGTCTATGTACAAAAAAACCCCAAATCCAATTTCCAATTTCTCTCAAATTTGGGGTAGAATATGCTGTTTAAATAATTTCACAGAGCAATTCTGCTGGTTTGTATCTGCCTTTCTGACCCTCTTAATGCAGATATCTATTGGCAACATAAAGATTCAAACAGTACATCTGCAGCCAAAGAAAACTGAACCACTTCACACTGAAGTTTTGAAAAATATAAAGCTCTAATCAGAAGCAAGCAATACCACCACTGGACAGACAGGTCACAACATTGCGTTTACAGGATGCATCACCCACTCACTGTAGTAGGCCCTACGTCCTACCCCTAAATTTTAATACTTTCGGTTCCATATACGTTGTAACCTTCTCTATAGGTTGCTAAATTCTGGGTATTCTGCGAGGAAGTTGGGTTAAAAGTCTGTGCACTCTTTGCCACCTTCATTCTCTTCGCTTCTGCCCTGGACTTGTAACAGAACTCTATCAAAGCCACCAGCATTGCCAAGCCCAGTCCGCCAACCAGAATGTAGAAGACGCCTGCTACGTTGCTCAGGCTCAAGGCACTGGTCTTGTCCTGGGGGGGGGATAAACACACTTCAGTGAACCGTGAAAATGTCACATCCAGAAGGTAAAAGAACACATAAAATCCAAACAACTAATTAGCATAAATGTTTAATTTAACCTGAAATTATTTACATGTATAAATTACTTCTGTAGGTTTATGGATTTAAAATAAAGCATATAGCTCTCAGAAGTCAAATTATGGCAATTACTAATAAATTGGGTGTAATGACATTAAATGAAATCTGTAACATTTCACTATTATTAACTATGCAATGGAAACCACTATACTTAGCCATAATAAGCATTTATATATTTACATAGGGTGCCAGAAGTGGGCTTATTATTATTGAGTTTGAAAATGACATGTTTAAAATACAATTACATGGAAAGGGGACTCTTTTGGTTTTCCTGCCATTAAAACAAACTTTTCATGTTTGAGATTGCCCTTAAATAAAACTAAGTTCACATTTCCTAATTAAGGAACTAAGGTGTTTTAAGCTAGTGATTTCACATTTTGTTCATTATTATTTTACCAAATATATACAGATAATGTTCTAGGGTGTACATTGTTTGTTCTTTCAGTCACATCTGTATGGGATATATTCTGGAAAGTGTCACTTTTACATACTATCTACTATTTAAGAATAATTATGTATGCATCACAAAGGTGACTTTTTTAAAGATAATTTTTTACAATACACAAATTATAATGGTCAATTGAGAAATAAATTATGTATGGACAAATTTATATAATTATTTTAATTTATTTAAAAATATGATTTCATTTCCACTTTAAAATGCTTAATCAGTTAATGTTTTAGATATATTATTCTTCAGAACCTTAGTACATGTATTATCTCATAATAAATTCAGAGATAGTCAAGCATATGTTTGAAAGATATTAAAATTATAACAAGAATTCAGAACTTTTTCATAAATTGTAAATATGCATATTATACATAACATTATTTGAAAAGCATTTTGGGTAGACTACTCAAAGGACACCCTCTAGCCATCATCTTCTCAATAGTATGTTTTGTGCAAAATGTGATTTAGACATTTAAATAGTTTTATTAGGAGAAGGTTTAATTCTAAAGACAGACTATGTACACCGTTCACTTAGCCATGATATCAACTGATTTGGGCCAACAGTTTAGGGCAACTTCAATTTTAAAATAATCACTCAAGTATTTATGCTTGACATAGGATTTGAGATAACTATTTCATTCTTTGGCCAAGCTTGTCTCATTCCACTCTGGTTTAAAGGCAGACAAAAGTGATTAAAATAAAAAGATAATTCCTTAAAAGGGATCAATTAACATTGTTTCTTTGTCAAAATGGTTGACGCTCTCCTATTTAAGCCTGTCACTTGTTTAGTTTTAGAATTATATATCATCTATCTATCTATCATCTATCTATCTATCTATCATCTATCTATCTATCATCTATCTATCTATCTATCTATCTATCTATCTATCTATCTATCATCTATCTATCTATCTATCTATCTACCATTTATCTATCATCTATCTATCATCTATCTATCTATCATCTATCTATCTATCTATCTATCTATCTATCTATTTTTTTTTTCTAAAAGAAGATATAGAAAAATAAGATTCTTAAAATCCTCAACTATGGCTTTCAGGCACTGTTACTACATTCTATTAATTTGCACAGTATTTAGATTCATTGATAGGTTATTACATTTTTTTTTCTTTAGAATTAAAATAGAAATGTTTCTAACACTGTTTTCAATGGAATCAGGCCTATAGGTTCCTGCATTTTTAAAAAAGAATTCATAAACAAAAGATCTTAGAACTTGAAGCTATTATTTACTAACTTTGATTTACTTAAATCATTTTGATAGAACAGAATTGAAAGATTCACTCTATTGATCTGTCAGCACAAAAATATAAGGTCTCTTCAAACTAAAGTGGAATGGTTGGTAATATAGTGACAAAAGACTGAACTTTGTAATAAAATATATTTAATATTTAAAATATTTTTCTTAATGACTACTGATCAATTTCCCACTTTTTATTTTAAGAATATGTCTGTTCTTGAAATAATATATTTCATGGCCTTTGCCTCCAAAACAATAAAAAACTTAATCCAAAAGCACTACTTTTATTAGTGGTACGTAAGTTTGAGAAAAATATAAAGAATTTTTATTATTTTATATATTGTTGTAGTTAATTTAAATTTATTTAAAAGCCTTCATATTGGGGAGCAGGTTGCAATTTTCTGAAAAGACCATCCCTGTGGCTGAAATTATGACATTGGCTTCGAATTTAGGCAGTGTATAGAGAAATGTTTAGTTTTGACTGTGTCCATATAGTTTTTTACAATTGCTCCCGTTTACTGCTTTGTGAACACGAGAGGAGGCCCGAGCTGCAGCGACTGACCTTGCTTCCAGAGTCCTTGGGTCCACATTCACCTTTATCGTACCACCATTTGTTTTTCAGCTTGTCTAAGACGCCTGCCTCACTGAGTTTCAAAACGGCAAGGTTTACAGGAGTTCTTCACGTGGAAAATAACATAAATAACATTATATATGTTATTTTATGTTATTCAAGTAAAACTACATTAGAATCGCATGGCAAAGTGACAGAGCAGAGGCCACAGTAGGTGCTATGTCTTGTACTGTAGCCCAGGTTTAGAAATCAGACATAAAACTGGGGCCTGCTCCATCGCTTTAGGTAACAGGCACATACTGCTAGGAGGATCTTTAAATAAAATGTATGCAATTACTGTGAATCCAAAACTATTGGCCTGGGTTGGGTTTCTTGAGCACTTATGAATGTGGGAGTCATTCAAAATCCAGAGCTGCTTTTTGCCTCTTTCGAAATGAATGGAAGTGGCTGCAGGCTGAGGAATAGACTTAGATAGAAGCCAGATAGGACTGGTTTCATTTCTCACATGCATATGCTCAGCTAGAGGGATGCGAGTTTATGCTATAAAAGAATGTTTATTGCGTTGATCATTAAATGAATTTGTTCACCTCTCTCATTCAGGACCGAACTGAGAGGATGGTGATTTAAATGTTACTAGGTCCAACTCATGCAGGTCCTCATAAACACAAATATGTAAATCATTATTTTAAAATATAAGCCTATGCTCATATTTTTCTTCTGAAGTTTAGTATTTAACTTACATACTATTACCAGAAGCATTTTTTATGCATCTTATGTCTACCACATTAATCTACTCTAAGTACAAAGGGAAGTGACTATAATACACTTGATCGATTCTTACCAATAAACACCTGATAGGCTAAGGGTAAATATAATTTTTATCAATAAACAAACTCCCTGTACTGTAAAATCCCGTTTTTCTTTTCTACTATCTCTGACTCCTTCAATACTGTGTTTTATAAGGAGTCTCAAGGAAGAAAGGGTCAGTGATCACTCATCATCAGTGTTCCAAGGAAGCTAAGAATTCTTTCTGTTTTCCTTCTCAAGCTACCCTCTATATGTAGAAAATAAATGGTAAGAAGATGGATGGGAAGCAGTAACTCCTAGCATCTTTTGTTATTATTATTTTCTCTATCTTTATAAACATCCAGAGAGAGGCTTGTTGCATTCTCGACAGTTTCAAGGCTGCCACAATCATTCTGTCTGGCTCTGGCTCCTAAAGCCACTCTTCCAGGAAATACTGAGTGAGTTTAGAGAAACACAGCTTGCATTTCTTTGGTTATCAGGAAGTGAATTCCATAAACCTATCCTCAAAACTAAGTAATGTATTTATAATGATGGCAATAATGATAGCTAATGTTTACGGGCACTTACTTTGTACCAGGAATTGCTAAGAGCATTTTCTTTTTTAACATGGTTAGTTACTATTATCACCTGTATTTTACAAACCAGGAATCAAGGCACAGGTTTGTTAACTCATCTTTTCACATAGTTAGGAAGTAGTGGAATCAGGATTTGTACTAGTCTGACTTCCTAGAGCTGTGCAGCTAAAAACATTAACAGCAGAAGACTCTGGAAATGGGGTTTCTGGTTAATTGAGTTTTCTGGTTAATAATTAAATTAAAACCCATTTATTTTGTATTGTTGTTTCTAAAAAATTTCTAAAATATATTTTTCTTTTTGTTTATCTGATTTCTGAATACAATTTATTTTTTGTTCATACAAAAGACTTTAGAAGATTCATTGTCCATTTGAGAAGTAAAATGTGCCTCGGCCAATTCAGCTCAGTGTTGGGAGCATTGGCTCTTGGGCTGAGGGCTCTGAGGTTTGATTCCCACTTACGGGCATGTACCTGGGTTGCAGGTTGTATCCTTGGCCCTGGAGCCATGTGGGAGGCAACCCATCGATGTATCTTTCACATCAATGTCTCTCTCTCTCTCTCTCTCTCTCTCCCCCCACCCCTCACTCTCCCCGCCTCTCTCCACCTCCCTCCCTCCCTCCACTCTATGTAAAAATTAATGAAAAAATATCATTGGGTGAAGATTTTTTAAAAAAGTAATATACATTTGTCGCATTCCTAGAATATTGTGTTTTGGATTAAAATCTAACATGATCATGATTTAATACTTTCTGCTAAAAGCCGAATTTGTGGTGAGGTGGGGTAAGGATAATGGTTAACTGGGTTGCTTGCTTGGCCCATTTAGCCCCAGTGGAGGGGCTGTCTATACAACCTCCCCTCCACCTCCATACTTTACCCCCCACCTCTCTTTATGAAGTGACTATAACAAAACCAAACTTCAGATTGGTTGGTGAACTGTGAACTCCTCGCAAACAAAAGCCACATTTCATTCATCTTTGTAAAACAGTATGTACTAACGTATCCACTGAGAGTAAGTGCTCTATAAAATGGCTACATTCAAATTATTTTGAATCTAGAACAAGCTTTTTCCTTTAACTGATACTACAAGAGGTACTGGACCCCAGGCCAGCTTGCCAAAGCCTTTTAGAACCCTGGCCTAAATTACACTTTTTGAATGGGGGGCAGTGGGAGGAGGAGAATTTAATGTTGAAAGAGAAAGAAAAGCAGTGTTCAAGTTTCTTCTAGGAAGGGCAGTTGAAGGCAACATTGAGGATTAGATAAAGACTGCTTTTGGCTTCTCTCTCTCCCTGCTTAAAGTCCAAATTTTCTCTATCCCCTTCATTTTCCCCTTGCCTCTTTGTCCCTTCTATTTACTCCAGTAGCCTGGTTTTGGAAGTAAGATTAGATTGGAATTTTGAATATAAGATACTTATTATTAACCAAATTTAGTGGTCAACTGGGTCAGGCACTGAGCAAGGAATTATTACTGGGAGAACCCTCCTCCAAGGTTAGCTTCCCATAGTGGTTTTTGTTTACCACATTTCCCCCTGCTTATGAATTCATATTTTCCATAATAATCCCTTTATTCTTGCATTGGTTTCCATGGCTGTGGCGAAGGGAAGTACGCCATTTATAAGTGCAACTTATTTTAAAGTTAAGAATGGGCTGTATTTTTCAAAGGGCTAACAAATACTGGGTATTATGTGATCTAATATAATTCCTGAAGGACACAATATTTGGTAATTACATTTACAAAATGATTTTTAAATGAATATCCACATGCCTATTTTGATGTACACAGGAGATGAGTAAAGTATAAAACAAACATAATAAATCAATAATTTTATAGATTTGATTATAGGCATTTGCCAAAATTTCCATCTAGAGCCACGATTAAACAACTCATAAAAAATTAGCATAAAATTCTGCATATGGTTTGTGTTCAGACTAACCATATCAGATTAATCAGCGGGGTAAGGGAGTTTTAGATATTGCAATGATGTTCTTAAATTGGTTCACTGTCAATTAGTAAATTTGTTATTTTATTCACAGAATTTCTTATGATCATCGAAAAAGACCACATTGTAGTAATGATAACATTATCAAATGAATGAATTTTCAAATTAATTAATACCCCCTAAATCATGCCTTTCCACTTTATTTCACTTAAGAAACAGGACATTTTGCCCTGATTTTCTTGTAAAATGTTTAATTTCAGTGTGAAGCCTCTTGGCTGAGGGCTGTCCTGCTCAGAACTTCAGCCAGGGCATGCCTATCAGGTGAGTGCTGATGCTAATATTTTGCAGCCGAGGTTTATGACTGGAAGTGACCACAGTCACTAATAGTTCAGTTGTTGGTTGTATTGAATCATAAGTTCCTTGATGGAAAGGACAGTGGGTAAAATTCTCTTTCTCCCCACAGATACTGGTGCCATGGCTCAGTTAAAGCCCAGGTTTAATAATTTGATGCTGAATAGTAGGCTGAACATGTCCTCCCTGGTTCTGATGCTGTGACTGTGAATCAAATGTCCCCTCCTAGGAGCTAAGCTTTCCACGGTGCCCCTTAGTTTTCCCCGACAAGACTCGGTATTGGAAACTCAGATAACACCGATATCCGTGTGCGTGGACCGAGGTCCAGGAATGTGCCTTTCCCTGTAGTCTTTACTGGGCCTGTCTGCTTGGCTTTACACTCAGCCAAAGCCCAGGACCCATCTTCCTTCTCCAAGTCAGCACTTTTGCTGCTTATTTTACCTCTTCTGAGGAAGATCTGGCTAAACGAGAGGCAAGGTAAGTCTAAAGAGAAAATCTCTAAAGAGTCACCTGAAGAAGGTACAAAAAAATGAGAAAGCAACAACGGCCTTCAGGTAATTTACTTTGAACTAAGTGAGGTCAAGCAGCCATATAAATATCCCCTTTATTACAAATTAAGAGTTGGGCATTATTAACATTTAGATTGCAACCACCTTTTCTATTGGTGATAAATATTACGTCAATGTACAACCTACTAAGAATGTTTTTAGTATGAAAACAAAATTCCTGAGGGAAAATAGAACATAATGCAATTTCATTTGGGGGAACATTTTAGGTTAATTTTTCATAACATTTTAGAAAATTACTTGTTAAGATTTGAGATAACGTTTTAGAATATCATTTTGTAGTTCATGTTTGGTGAAAGCAATGTACTGAATACCAAACAGTTTGATTTTTGAAAATTACAAGGTTAGATTCATATTTATTTCTTTGGACAACAAATACTTACTTTGTGTCCATATGTACCAAATAATGTGTTGGATGCAAATAGATTAAAATCTAACTGAGTTGTCCAACCTTATTTAAATAAATTAAAATGACTTTTGTTACATAGGTTTTTTTTAAAAATTATGTGTACATTTTTGCTTCCATTTGCTTACTTTTTCCTCTGGAAAGTCTTTAATGTACACTAAAACAGGACTTCATTATTCATTTGGGGCGGGATTTTGTTTGTTAAGCAGTGTTATACTTGTTTTCTATTTGTGATAAAAAATAAAATTTGCAAGTAAAATTTCTCTGATGGAGTAGAATATCTTTGTTTTTATTTTCTGTGATGCTATTCGAGCACATTTCATACATTTCTAATTTGCATGAAGCAATAGATTATTAGTATACACTGAAATACTTCTCTCTCTTTCATAACATATAGTATGGAAACTATCAGAACATTCTAGCCCAGGCAAGTCAGGGCTCCAAAATATAAAAAGAATGAATATG